TATTATATATATATATATACATATATGTATTATATCTTATATCATTATCTTTTATACCCCACATCTTTAATCTGTCCATAAGCCAAAACTCTGTTCCAGATGCTTGGAAAAACAGCCTTTGTTCTTCCTTTGCTGAAGGGAGGTGACCCCACCTCACTGAACAACTATCGGCCAATCTCTAAACTCTGCATTTTAGCCAAGGTTCTAGAAAAATTGATAAACTCTCAAATCAAAATTTACCTGGACTCATTTAACATCTTTCATCCCCATCAATCTGGTTTCAGGAAACAACACAGCACAACGACTGCTTCACTGAAGGTTCCGAATGACATTGTTGAAGTACTGGATGCTAAGGATTATTGTGCTACACTTTTCTTAGACCTGTCTAAAGGTTTTGACACTGTGGATCATAACATCTAAGTCTCATAAGCTTTCAGAAATTGGTTTCTCAGAACACACCATTGGTTGGTTCTCTAACTATCTTTTAGATCGGATGCAATGTGTACAACGTAATGGTACTTCCTCCAGTTATTTAACAGTCAACAATGGTGTACCACAAAGCTCAGTCTTAGGACCCACCCTCTTTACAGTTTACATAGGTAATGTATGTCGGTGCATCCTTGATGCATCCATACATTTCTATGTGATGACACAGTTGTTTATTGTCAAGCTAAAACAGTTGCTAAGGCTTTCCAGCTTTAGAAATCCGCATTTGACATCATCCAGTCAGATTTGTTCCACCTCAAACTTGTCTTGAAAGCCGATAAAACCAAAGGGATGCTTTTTTTTGAACAGGAAGTCAGTCCCAGCAGTTCTTCCTCCGATTTTATCCTCAAATGACGTCCCTATTGAGTTTGTTGATTCCTCTAAATATTTGGGTATCTTGGTGAAAACCTAGTAAAGAAAGTGAAAATTAAACTGGGTTTCTTTTTCAGAAACAGATCCTGTCTAACTTTGCTAGAAAACACCTTGTAACTGTGACTTTCCTTCCCTCCATTGACTACAGTGACATTATTTACATGAACGCTCCTACAAGAACCCTGCAGATGTTGGATGCTGTCTATCATGGTGCACTAAGATTCATAACTGGCTGTGATTATCATACCCACCATTGCACCCTGTATTCACTGGTTAACTGGACATCATTAACTTCACGCAGACTCTCCCACTGGTACATTTTCATTTTTAAATCACTTCTTGGTCTGTTGCCTTCATACATCTCCTCCTACATGTCTCTGCATGAGTGCAGCTACAGCGTGCGCTCTCAGGACATTATTACCTGCAGTGTTCCCTCAGTGAGAACTGAACTTGGCAAAAGGCCTTCTCCTACTCTGCTCCTGTTTCCTGGAATATCTTGCAAAAAGATCTGGAGCTCTTGACCTTGACCTCTCTAAGTGGCTTTAAGAATCTGTTGGACTCCTGGCAGGGACCAATGCAGACATATTCCTGTTTTTAGTTTTCTACATTTGCCTTATGATCTAGATGTTTTTGCCATCTTATTTTATTTGTAAATAAAAAAAAAAGAAACAAGAAGCTCTGTATGCCTCTTTTATGATCGTCTATTGTTGTCACTGTTGTCCATTGTTGTCATCATTCTTTGTTGAAATCAGGTATCTCTTGTAAATGAGTCCTCGAGGATCAATGGGATTAACCTGTCTAAATAAAGGTTGAATGAATCTTGTGTATGTCCCTTTGTATTGAAACTCTGGCACAACAATTTCTTGCAGGATCAGAAAATTTCTATCTTATCTTATCTTAGCTTGAGAAGAATGCTGGTTGAGGAAAGCCGATCCTAAGGTTTATATCTATCCTCGCTACCTATTGCTGAGATGATGTTCCTCCTGACGCATGCCATAGCTTTATTCGAGTCAACAAACCCTTTGTCCATCTCTCCATGCATGATGCTAAACAGAAAAAAGTAGCCCGTAGCTAACGTCTCGTTAACCATGAAGGAGTCTCTTCACCTTTTTGAACGCTGCGTGTGCCTTTGCTATGCTTGAACTGTAGTCAGCTGTGATGATGATCACTGATTCCTTGAAGTGAAGCGGGCCATGACTGTGCATGCATTGTAATATCTTCACACAATCTTGATACGTACTATGTAGTTTGGCCACAATAATTCTTGGCTTTTAGCCTGACCTTCTCCTGCCCTCCTTGTCCTGTGAGCAGTCGATCAGCGGTGGTTTGCTCAACTTCAGCACCTCTGTTAGCATTTTAGCTACCACTGCAGGGCTGCTTGACTTAGCGATTCAGGAAGATCTATGATCCTGATGTTGCTCCTTCTCATATGCCCCTCCACGGTCTAAAACCTCTTCTTCAGACCATCTACCTCGTTCCTCATCTCCGTCACGATACCATGCAGAACTTCCACTTTGTCTGACCAGTTAGAGAGACCATCTGCAGCTTCCTTCACACTCAGTCTCACCTGGTTAATTTCTGCTCTGGGAGTCGTGATGCTGACAATAACCTCAGCCCTCACCGCTTGGAGCTTGCCCTTAATGAAATTGAGATCCTCTGCTGCCAGGGCAGCCTTAATTTCCAACCAGATTGTCACAGATGTTTCAGTTTTAATTGAAGCAAGAATGTCTGACATCAGAAATGACTGTATAAAGCTCGGTGAAGGCGGAGCCAATTCTCCTGTTCCAGAAGCACCGTGGTCAGAGGCTGTGTTTGACCCAGTGGCCACAGAGCCCGTAGCCTTTGATTTCTTAAATTTGGAGATCATCTTGCAGCTCTGTCGATTTGATCATACGATAATGCTGACTTCATAAGAATCCAACACAGAGGTGGCGAGAAAGTTCTTATGAAAGGCAGGTTTAAACAGTAGTGATGGGAGCCCAGCAAGAACAAGAGTTACTGTGCCGCCACCATCTTGAATCCCCCCTCTCCTGTCTTTTTGTCAGTGCTACTGTCTCCAGAACATACAACATACTATAGCTGGTCTTACCAATTGTCTTGTAAAATTACCTTTGCTGACACCCTGTTGTTGCAAATCACTCCTGAAACTTTTCTCCATCCACTCCATCCTGCCTGAACTCTCTTTTTCACCTCTTTACCACATTTTCCTGGACAGGGAACCCCAAGTACTTGAAGTCCTGCACCTTTGTGAGCTCTGCTCTTTGTAGCCTCACTGTTCCACCAGCCTCCTTCTCGTTCACACACATGCAGGGCTTAATTTGATCCGGATCCTGCTGGAACAGGATCCGGTAACCCTAATTTGATAATCCAGTAATCTTAATTTGACAGGGTGCCGATAATTGTTTGCTTGGATCCGGTAACTCTCAGGCTTAATAATGCATTTATGAACAAATTTGACTGTCTTGAACAAATAAAATCTATATTGGATATGTAAACTGAAAATAACATACATAAACACTAATTTTAAACATAACAAGCTACCTAATATCACATCAGAGCTGTCGCTTCGCATTTCCGCTTCTGCTCTTAAAAGCCCCTAAAAGTTCAAACTCATGGGCAATTTTATTAAAAAACACAAAACTTAAATTAAACGTTTTGCACTATGCATAAATTTCTGCACTTTTGCGAACGATCTGATGTGTGAATCACTGCAGGAGTTCTATGAACTTTTACTTGAACTGCAAAAAAGAGACGATGATCTTGGCTCATCAAGCTGTTTGTCGTGAAGTCAGAGTATTTGAAGCAATGATGGAGCGACCAGGATGCTTTTCTGAATTGGGCAAAAGGATTGAGAGCAACTCTTTTCTAAGTCAGTGACAAAGCGTTAAATATTAGGTAGTTTTTTCTAAGTGTGGCCAAAAACTTAGAGCAGCTCTTATTGTCCCACGGAGTGGAGCAGGGAGGAGGATGAAGAGGCGCACCTGACCGCAGTGTGGGATATACTAAACAACTAGAAAGGTAATAAATGGTCCTGCACTTGATACATTTATAAATCACACATAAAGTGTTTAAAGTAAATTATAAATATAAACTGGCTTCAGTGGTGATTTTAACCTCTTTTGGGGGTGCTCAAGTACCCCTAAATTTTAACTCAGCACCTCTGAAAAATAAAGAAAACATCATTAGGATTTTGTAAGGAAACTCATTTCTCAAGCCTTATATTCAACAAAATATTGAATAAATATGGAATAGATGATGACAGTCTTAAACAAGCCAGTAAAATCTGATATTTTTTGCATGAGTCGCGCCACCTGTCAATCAGTCCAGTAGGCACGTCAGCAACTAACCAATCAGCAACCTCAATTTGTCCTAAAGTTAACATTCCTTACCTGCAGAGCTGCAGCTTTGCAGTCAGAGAGGTTTTAATTATGAGTTTACATATTTTATTTCATGTTAATCTACTGTAATAAGTCTTTGTAAAATACACCAGAATGCGGGAAATGGCATCTACTTTATTCAAAATTCTCTGGGGAAGCACCACCAGACCCCTCCCTCCAACACACACAAACACCACCCTCCCGCTTTTGCGTTCCGGCATCGTTTGATTTACAAATTAAGCCCTGCACACGTACTTTGTCTTACTTTGACTTTCATTCCTCTTCTCAAGATTTATCATGAGTTTCAGTATAGAATCTACATCCCAAGTATAGAAGTGGTCACACTGGTAATTATCAGATAATCTATACATTTGATCAACGGCTCCTGGCTGATAATTAACTTCCTAAATTCTGTGGGAACAGTAAGGCTGGACATGGCTTTTCTAGTTTGGCTTTTTTGTTTGTTTAATCAGTTTTCTAACTATTAACCCATAGCTCTAAGAGTTTCAGAGTAGCTGATTGGCAGGGGCAAGAGTTTAGGGACATCAGAACCAGTCATCTCAGACCAAACTGGAGGGATTAAATTATATACATTTGTCAGTTGGAAAAAAAAAAAACACAACCCAATCTAAATAATACTTTTGATTTTTTCAATTTGTGTTAAAATAACATTCTTTTGCAAATATATTCATCATGACCATTTATTTAATGTAATGGATACAAGTAAGTAACACACTCAACTTTTGTTGACTGCTGCCTTTGTAGGTTCTCCTTCAGGAACAAAACCTGGGAGTGTGGTATAGATTCAGTGTGCCCATCCATCGCACAGGGAGCGGGGACAATGAGGTAGGCTTCTTCTGGCACCACCTGCCCTGGTCTGAGTGCTCAGCCACCTGTGCTGGAGGTGAGTCAACACCTAAACACATAAACACGACTTTATTTTGACCCCTGTTATTCTGCAGGGGTCAAATCTGTTTTGTCTGAATGTTTCTTGCTCTGATTGTAGCAGATCAAATACAAACATTTGACAAAAATTCCAGGTTTAACGTCTGAACTATGTTCCTGTGTTTTCTTTCATATTTTGTGTTTTTTTTTCCCCCAAATCATCTAATTTTTTTTAGACTGTATTCAGTGTTGCAGTAAAAAAAAAGTTAATTTTTTTAAAACATCCTCTGAGGACCACACTTAGTTTGCGCAACAACTATAAAATTATAAAACCATGGTTGTCAAATTTTACTTATTTTTGTAAACAATTAGATTAGTAATTATTTGGTGTTTATTTATACCTGATTAGGTTTTTGGTCAACTTGGTGTAAGATAGGTGACACTTCTAACGGATTAAAAAAAACAAAACATAAAATGGTTATAACTTGACAAAATGTACAGATATTTTGATTTTTAATTTGATGTGGTAGCAGTTGTGACAATAGGCGTCACAACCATTATATGTGAAGGGGACACGTCCCCTTCACACACACATAAAAAAATTTAAAAAAAACTTTCATTTTGACACCACCTCCCCCACACACTTTTACTATGAAACATTAGTTCAATCGGCACAGTTTCTCTTCCTTTGTGAACAAATACATTCCACTTGATTAATAGGAGAATGCTCAAGCCACTAAAAATCCACTCCAGGTTTTCCTGGTTACCTACAACTCTAAACACAGCAGCCTGCAGTGTTTCCTCTGTGTCTCCTGCCTCGAACACTCACAGGTGGAGGAGGTGGAGACACCTCTGGGTTGCTCGCCGGCTTAGCAAGCTTAGTGCGGGAAGTTGTTGACCGGGGGGGGTGATCATAAACATATATACATGGTTAGGATGCTTGAGAGAAGAGGAGCACTATGTCTGTAGCATCTTAGCTAGCAGTAACAGTGATGCTGTAAGACGCTGCAGGTGTAAGAGACGCTGTAAGGTGCGTTAAAGTTGAAACTTTAATAATTGTTGCATTATGGGAGCTGACTGCGGGTCACTGCAGCTAGCTACGGCTAGCTGTGGGCCTCAGGCTTCCTCTCTGACCCTGGACCCTCAGCCAGCCCCCACCGCTTCCCCTGGTTCTATCTCTCTCAGAAGTGGCAACTCATACTATCAATAAATCAATGAGACGTCAATTAAGTTTTATCAATTATATTAAAAAGAAGGCATGAGAAGATTACAGTTTTACAACGCTGGACTCTCCGGACCGTGATGCGTACACAGACCCGGAAGAGCCCTGAAGTCCCGTGTCATCACTAATTTATACCATACCTTACCATACCATACCATACCATACCATACCATACCATACCATACCACTTTATTTATAAAGCACTTAAAACAGCTACAAGGCCAACCAAAGTGCTGTACAGACAAAACAACAAGTAACACACAAAGCAAAATACAAAATGAGGTAAATCAGAATATAGACAAAAATGATGCAGATAATGACGACAAACCAGTGTGGAGCATACAGGATCAAAACACAGATCATCTGGTGTTGAAAGCTACTGAATAGTAGTGAGTTTTTAAACGGGACTTGAAAACCGAGAGGGAGGGGACATGTCTGACAAACAGAGGTAACTCGTTCCAGAGTCTTGGTCCTGCTACAGAGAAGGCACTGTCACCTCTGCGCTTAAGATGAGTTCCTGGAGCTGTGAGCAGCAACTGGTCCGCTGACCTCAGGGAACATGGTGGGACATACGGTTGTAGCAAATCAGAGAGATGGGGGGGGGGGGGGGCGGGGCACAATGTTCAGTGATTTGTACCGCCCACCTTCAGCAACACCTGAGGCTCTGTCCTCCCTGATGGAATTTCTTGGTAATTTAAAATTCAAAGAGATCCTTTTGGCTGGAGACCTCAACATTGATTGGTGTAAGTCGACCCCCTTCTGTGATAAATTCAAGGAATGCTGCCTGTCTCTCAATCTTACCCAATTGATCGACTCTACCTCTAGATTAAACAAAAACCGTCCTGAAAAATCCTCCATCTTAGACCTATTTCTAACTAATATGCCTCACAAATTCCCTGGTACAGGTGTATTCGCTGATATTTTGAGTGATCATTGTGTGACAGCTGCTTTGAGAGATATTAAACTTCCACCTTCTAAGCCCAGATTAATTCAAAAAAGGGATCTGAAACATTTTTGTGAACAGTCATTCCTCTGGGATCTGTCTCACTTTGACTGGCATCGTATTCTGTTAACTGATGACGTGAACTCCGCTTGGAACTATTTTCATAACAGTTTCATTTATTTTGTGAACAAACATGCTCCTTTTCGTCAGTTCAGAATAAAGGGACGAGACAGCCTCTGGTTTACTCCAGAGCTAGCTGACCTCCTGCACAGGAGAGACCATCTTTGGGCCACAGCGAGAAAATCTGGCTCAGACACTGATTGGTTGAGTTTTCGACAGATGAGGAATAAATGCACAACTGCTGTCAAAGCAGCAAAACGCAGCTATTTCTTTTCTCAGACCTCCAAAAATCTAAATGACCCTAACAGATTCTGGAAACCATCAAATCTCTCTCAGGCACTACCCAATCATCTGACCTCCCATCACAACTTCTCGTTAACTCTGTTCCTGTGTCAAATAAGCACGAGATCCTGAACTGTTTCAACAAATATTTTGTTGCTTCTAGTTCTTTATTTGACACAGTTACTAACAGAAAATCAGCCACTTCCCCTAATAACCAAACTTCTACAAATCAAATCCCTCCTACAAGTCAATCCTCAGTTAATCACACATTCTCTTTTTCTCCGTTCTCAGTCAGTGAGGTCAATAAACTGTTAAAAGATCTTGACCCTAAAAAATCTGCAGGTCCAGATGAACTTCCACCTTATTTCTTAAGGCTGGCTGCTCATATCATCACAGTCCCTGTGACCCACATCTTCAATCTCTCCATAAGACAAAACGCCATCCCAGACACTTGGAAAACAGCCTTTGTTCTTCCTTTGCTGAAGGGAGGTGACCTCACCTCACTGAACAATTATCGACCAATCTCTAAACTCTGCATTTTAGCCAATGTTCTAGAAAAACTGATAAACTCTCAAATCAAAAATTGCCAGGACTCATTTAACATCTTACCTCCACATCAATCTGGTTTCAGGAAACAACACAGCACAACCACTGCCTCACTGAAGGTTCTTAATGATGTTGTTGAAGCACTGGATGCTAAGGATTATTGTGCTGCACTTTTCTTAGACCTGTCTAAAGCTTTTGACACTGTGGATCATAACATCTTGTGTCATAAACTCTCAGAAATTGGTTTCTCAGAACACACCATTGGTTGGTTCTCTAACTATCTTTCAGACCGGAGGCAATGTGTTCAACATAATGGTACTTCCTCCAGTTATTTAACAGTCAACAATGGTGTACCACAAGGCTCAGTCTTAGGACCCACCCTCTATTCAATCTACATACATAATGTAGGTAAAAACATCCCTAATGCATCCATACATTTCTATACTGATGACACAGTTGTTTATTGTCGAGCTAAAACTGTTGCTTAGGCTTTCCAGCTTTTGAAATCTGCATTCAACTACATCCAGACAGATTTGTTCCGCCTCAAACTTGTCCTAAATGCCAACAAAACCAAAGGGATGCTTTTTTCAAATAGGAAGTTGGTCCCAGCAGTTCTTCCTCTGATTTTATCCTCAAATGGTGTCCCCATTGAGTTTGTTGATTTCTATAAATATTTGGGTATCTTGGTCGACTCACATCTCTCTTTTAAGCTCCATGTGGAAAACTTGGTAAAGAAACTGAAAGTTAAACTGGGTTTCTTTTTCAGAAACAGATCCTGTCTAACCCTGAATGCTAGAAAACATCTTGTATCTGTGACTTTCCTTCCCTCCAGTGATTACAGTGACATTATTTACATTAACGCTCCTACAAGAACCCTGCAGATGTTGGATGCTGTCTATCATGGTGCACTAAGATTCATAACTGGCTGTGATTATCGTACCCACCACTGCACCCTGTATTCACTGGTTAACTGGACATCATTAACTTCACGCAGACTCTCTCACTGGTATATTTTCATCTTTAAATCACTTCTTGGTCTGCTGCCTTCATACATCTCCTCCTACATGTTTCTGCATGAGTGCAGCTATGGATTGCGCTCTCAGGACATTATTACCTGCAAAGTTCCCTCATTGAGGACTGAACTAGGCAAAAGGGCCTTCTCCTACTCTGCTCCTGTTTCCTGGAATATCTTACAAAAACATCTGGAGCTCTCGACCTTGACCTCTCTAAGTGGCTTTAAGAATCTGTTGGACTCCTGGCAGGGACCAATGCAGACATGTTCCTGTTTTTAGTTTTTTAAATTGGCCTTAGAATCTAGCTGTTTTTTTTTTTTTTTTTTTTTTTGTTACCTTTTCCTTTTAGCCATCCTATTTGTAAAAAGAAAAGAAAAAAAATCCCTGCAGTATGACTTTTTATAATTGTTTATTGTTGTTGCTGTTGTCCATTGTTATCATCTTTCTTTGTTGAAATCAGGTCTCTCTTGTAAATGAGTCCTCGAGGCTCAATGGGATTTACCTGTCTAAATAAACGTTGATTGATTGTAGACATACATGAGTATTTTGAAATGGATTCGAAAGTGAACCGGTAACAAGTGCAGTGAGGCCAAAACTGGTGTAATGTGCTCTCTTTTGCCTGTACTGGTTAAAAATTAGGCTGCTGCATTCTGGACCAGTTGTAGTCATGCAATGGAGGTCTGACTGATACCAAACAGAAGCGAATTGCAGTAATCAAGCCTAGATGTAATGAATGCATGTATTACTGTCTCCAGGTTATTTTTGGACAATATGGGCTTCAGTATAGACAGCTGCCTCAGTTGGAAGAAGCATGATTTAACAATCATGTTTACATGATTGTTAAGCTTCATGGAAGGGTCCATTATCACTCCTAGATTATTGACTCTTTGTTT